CAGAGTCGTGGTGTCCAGGAGCGAGATTGATTTGTTTAACATTAGGAAGGAGTTCAGGAAGAATTTCGCCACCTCTCTCTATTCCATGATTAAGGTAGTAGAACCTTTGTTTAAACTATGTTCAGAAATTCAGAGCAGACCAATAGATAGCATGTAAGACAACAGATGGGAGAACCCACTTGTATAAAGTTTCAAATTTTAGTGGCGTGATTAGAGCCATGACTTATAAAGCTTGGCTTATAATATTTCCTTAAAGTACAGATGATGGCTCCCAAGTGAAAGATGGGCTCTTGGTGGGGCTGAGGCTCTTGGGGAGCTTAGGAACATTATTTAGTAGTGGTGACAGATGACTCATCAAACCCAGCCCCCGCCACTGAAGATAATGTGTTTGTTCTTTCTCTCTTTTATCAGTTCCAGCTGTCCTTATCAGTGCCTCCTTCCTTTCACTTCGGTCTTTCTTCATTGTCTGTTATCACCTTGTCTCTGGTATTAGTTCATAGTTCAGGAAAGAACCAGCCAGGTCATATCAGAAATAAGTAAAGAGTTTAGGTATTACTATCATTTTTGTCTTTAAAAGCTAGGGAGACTGTGGCCTATATTTAAATTTGGCTTAAGGCCTTTTGACTTTCTTTTCTTTCTTTCTTTTTTCCCCTTTTCTCTTTCTTCCTTCTTTTGATAAAAGGGAAAATGGGCCATATGCAAAGCAGGATCTCAACTAAGCAAGCTTTGAACTTTGTGTGTAGGTGTGGCTGGGTTGAAGGGCACTAGAGACTTCTCACATGCACTCTTTGCTTGAAACATTAATTTATCATATATATCTGTGTGTGAGATAAGCTGAGGTAAGGCATATCCTGCCCCTCTGTCTTTGAAGCAAAAACATAAGAGCCACACAGTCCCAGGATTGCCTCCCTTAGCCAGACACATAATATGTGATAGTAACTTAAAGGTTTAGAAAGCTCGGTTTGAATGTCATTGTAAAAGCTTCCTTGTTCTATGCGTTACCAGAGGGACGAACATACTTCATTGTCTCAGAGCTGTGCCTTTAAGGGGTAAAATTAGAAAGTTAAACACATGTTACATTGGTAGGAAACTCCTTGTATAACATTCCTGATGTGAAAGTCACATACACAGAGATTATCCACTTGGGAGCAAAGTCACATGAATAAAACTTGTTGCCAGACACTTAGTTTTTGATTTTCTGTGGCTTCTATGACTCATGGAGGGTAACGGAGTACATTTGGGTTTCAGGATGATACGTCTGGGGACTATAAGAAAGCCCTCTTGCTGCTCTGTGGAGGAGAGAACGACTGAGATAACCAGCTGGAGAGAGATCCTGCGCCGTGCCTGCCACGGCTGCCGCGACCTTCCTAAGCCTCTCGCTGTGCTTGTTTGTATGCCCGAGCCTGACACGTTGCCTTATTCATACTAGCATGCTAATGACCAAAACATACATGTTGCAGAAGAGAAATAGCGGTGCTTCTTGCTGATGTTCAGTAAAGCTCTTTGTCTTTTGTAGTACTTACGTTACTAAAGTCTAAAGTCTGGGTCATTTAGATTTTCTTTTAGAAGATCCGACTGCTTTTAGCCTTTTTAAAAAACTTGATTTATATTAAATTGATAACTGTATTTCCTTAATCAGAACCTTAGCCTTAAAATGATGAACTCCTGGAAGTGTTATTAATCAAGTTTGCTACTAAACTAAACTTGAAAAATTATGGTGGTTGCATTCAAAAGATTAATGAGAAATAAACATTTCCTTCCCCCTGACTCATGTGTGGGTGTGTGTTCAGAAAAACTTTTTAAAAATTATTTTTATTTGATTATGGTTGATACAAGGTTCCTTTAGTTTCAGGTGTACAATATAGTGATTCCGGTTCTCTGTGCTGTGCTCATCACAAGTGTGGCCACCATCTGTCACCATGTGACACTGTTCCAGTGTCATTGACCATAGTCCTTATGCTGCTGCTTTTATTCCTGTGACTTCGTCATTCCGTAACTGGGAGTCTGCGTCTCCCACTTCCCTTAACCATCAGTTTGTTCTCTGTATTTTTATAGGTCTGATGCTGTTTTTTCATTCAAACAGTGCTCCAAAGACAGAGGGGGGCAAGATATGCTTTACCTCTGCTTATCTCACACACAGGTGCTGTTTGTTCATTCATTTGTTCTTTAGATTCCACATGTGAGTGAAATCAAATGGTATTTGTCTTTCTCTGTCTTATTTCACTGAGCACAATACCATTAACAATGATACCTTTTTTCAAGCTATATATATATATCACTGTGTAAGTTTAAAGTATACAGCACAATGAATTGATTTATATATATTGCAAAATGATTACCATAATACATTTGGTTAACACCCGTCATCTTATAAAAATTAAAAAAAAATTTTATTTCCTTGATGAGAACTCTTAGGATCTGTCTCTTTCAAATATACCACATAGCAGTGTGAACCATAGTCATCACATTGTACATTACATCCCCAGTACTTATTTATCTCAAAACTGGAAGTTTGTACCTTTTGACCACTTTCATCCAATTACCCCATTCCCCATTTGCCCATCTCTGGTGACCACAGATCTGATCTCTTGTTCTGTAACTTTGGTTTGTTGATGTTGTTTTTTTTGGATTCCACATGTGAGCTCATGGAGTATCTTTTCTCTGACTTATTTCACTTAGCATAATGTCCTCAAGTTTCACCCATGTTGTCACAAATGACAAAGATTTCCTCCCTTTCTGTGGTTAAATAATCTGTTACATATCACATTTTCTTTATCCATTCATCCACTGATGGACAATTAGGTTGCTTCCATGTCTTGGCTATTTGTAAATAATGCTGCAGTGAACATGGGTTGTCTCTCAAACCTTTGTGATTGTCCAAGCAGCCTACTTTTGTTCTCAGTGGCTCCCAGGAGTTGAAGGTGTGCCAAGACCTATTAGTGTCCTAGAGTGGGGGATCTCAGTCATTACCTAGATTGAGGCTGATTGGAATCCAGACTCTCGGCAGCTTTTTTTTTTTTTTT